GCATCGTAGAACGGACTGCATACCTATTTGGAGTACGTAATGACTTGCAGTGGGCTATCATTGCATCAGATTAGTGCTTTTACCTTCTCAGGTATGCCTTGTACTAGTTTACTGATCCCAAGATGAAGGAGCCTTGGTTGCTGTGAGCGTAGGATGGAGGCAAGAACAGCATGTGTATACCTCTAAATACTTCGTTGCACCCTTAATACCATCGATCCAAGCCGTAATGTACTTTCTTTCATTGATAAACTAACACAAGGTTGTTCCCAAACATTTATTCGGATAATGCTTCAACGTCTTCGTCTCTTTAGAGCTGTTGGTCTTGTTTCTTATGATATATGTCTGAAAATGATCCGACTCTTTGGTTTTTTTTCTTATGAACTTTCGCTCCCATGATCTTTTCACCTACGCGATTCATCACAATTACGGTCGCGCTTGTTAACTGCCCTCACCCCTCTCTCCCTCGCACCGATCCGAACATCACCCCTTTCGTTTTCCTGCTCCTCCTACCTCACTGACACCCCACCTTGCTAACTTTCTCTTTTCGTGAACATTTTGTCACAGCTATATTGACTGATCTGAGAAGTCAATCAATAAGAATAGACAATAAATTCCATACTGTCGACTTTGTGCTGACCGTAAGCGAAAAGAAGTTTGCACAATTTAGCAATGAATTTCTTCATTTCACTGAATTCACACTGACTTTCTTCTTTGGCTGGCTTTTCGGCTTATTTCGCAATTTTACTTATTCTCTATTAATTTAGTGTATATCGCCATTTTGTGGCTCCGCATAATATTTAATCTAACATAGTGTTTAATATGTTCTCTGCTGTTCCTTGTTCTCAATCCTTCCTTATTAATCTTCACCTTTTTGAGATGTATAATTGCAAGCGTAATGAAACGTTTTTTCTACGATGGTTTCTTTCTTACTCACTGTTTTTTGACAGCTTAGAGACGCACTTGCAGAAACTGCGATGTAATCTCATTATTTACTATTTATCCACTTATCCACTCATTCATTCAGTCGATTAACAAGTCGATCAATAAATCGTTATTTAGAGAAATTACGTCATTCGCGGTTCTCCTAATAAAAAATCTCTTTCTGAATGGTAAATTTCTCCACGGTAGAACTTTTGCTATAGACATAAAATCGTCAATTTCATATTTAACATATATTTTTCTTTAAAATCCTAAATTATTTGTTACTTTTTCTTGGACACGAAAAATATTGTGCCACGATTTGGGTGGTGGCTGATGAGATGGGAAGTGTGCGCTTCGTTCGCAGAAAAGACTTCTCCCACTTCCTCAACAAACAAACCAGCACGACAAGTTTTCCGAATCGAACATTTTCCTCGAAAAAAGCACTATTTAAGCACCATACGGTTTGAAACTATGGCTCTGTCAAATCCATCAAAGCGTTCCAGTCCTATTTGAGTGGAATACGACGATTTTCTTCTCGTTTCGCATTTTTGGTCGCTTCGACGTATTAAATGGAGCTGTAAACTATTTTTGTAACGAAATTGTTGTGACGTTTTCTAGAAAATTTCGTTCACGGTAACCACTGAAAGGATTGGCTTATTTGAAAGTGCAGAGAATTGCTTAACCAAATAATCAGAAACTCCTACATAGCACGGTTTAATTGCTTCTTCTTGGGATAAAAAAAAGTATAAAGCTCTCGGCGTTGATCAAGCCTTAAGGGATGCGTCATGCATTCTACTTCACTAAGCATCATTTAGAGGTGACTTAATGCATATCTGGCCTGTACAAATGACTATTGGTCGCCTACCGATGCATCGAGCCAGGGCTGCTATCCACCCAGACAATCTAGTACCAATTTGCCCACCTCGGAGGGGCGGAAGGCTAGGTGGGCCATGTGCATTCCACGTGTGTTCTGCAGGGCGCCTCCTACTACTGCGCCATACGCGCCCCTTTCTTCTTGGGAATCACTCGTAAACTAGCGACTTTAATGTTATCTTGCACTGTTTTAGTACAGTTCTCAAAATTTCGCTGTTGCAACTGTTGCATTTTCTTAGCCCGGTTAGTTTACTGCATCTACCTCTAATTTCCGTAGTTCTGCTTGCTTTTAACAAAAATAGCAGCGGGGAACGAACACGCGCTGTTGTCCTTACCGGGGAGCAGCGCGTGTTCGTTCCCCACTGCATACACCTGTGGTCCGGAGTTTTGCAAATATCTCAGCACTTCATACGAGTTATATTTCACAACATACCCTGCCATTAAGAAGAAAAAGGCAGTAAATAAAAGAGTTAAAAATAGCAGCAACCAAATGTTGTTCTCTAGATGCTTTCAAATATCTGTTATATTTGGTTTGTTCAAGGACGCTCTCAGCACAATAGTTAGAGGTAGTCGGTAACACACAAGTGGTCCTTGGTTCGACCGCGCACCCTGGGCTCATCTATCATCCCATGTCTCCGAGATCGGCAGATTGGTACCAGATTTTTCAGGAAAAATATCAGCACTGACTTGATTGATCGGTAGGCCACCGCAAGTTATATAGGCGAAATATGCATTCAGTTAGTTCCGAGTTGCAACGAATGAAGTCGAAGGAATGCAGCATCTCTCGAAATATCAACGTGGAGGACTTCATCCTTTACTCTTCTACTTATTTCTTATGTCCAGTTATTGTTTACTTAGTTGCAATATGGGTCAACCGTACCTTCCATTTGCCACTCTGAGATCAACCGTATGATCTGCGATGGACCGAGCCTTTTTAATGGTTACTCTTGACTGACCAGCGCGAAAATTTCTAACAGAAACGAAAGCCACTCATTGAGTACTTTAGGGATTTTGCAAGTAGAAATTGAATAAAAACGGTGAGTTTGGTGATCAACAAGAAAAGCCCTATCACTTGCTCTTTATGCATTTCTTTGTTTCATTTAACATGACCTGTCACTTCCTCCATTCGATTGGCTTTCCTTCCATTCCTCTTCCACAACGGCCTCTGAACGTTTCGCATCTTGTTTCGGCTGCTGCTTGAGGATTTCCTCTCCTTTATGAATGCAGTAGCGAGTTAGTTTTTCTTGAACTATTGGAGACAGCCGGGCTATGGTGTTCTCATTTGAATCGAAGGAAAGCATTGGTGAGGATGTCGAACAAGCGCCTTCCCTTCCTGATCGACAGCTAATACGCCACTCTTCACCCGTTTTTTATGCAACAGTAACGAAATTCGATAGTACTATACGATTTCGGTGCATGCTTCTAGTGTTTATTGATTGATTAGGCTTGTGGTTAAACCATCCAGAAACGTACGCCGAGTAAGGAAGTAATTTTTGTTCCCAAATTTATTTCGACTTTTGCAAATGTAGAACCGATTATGCACAAGCATTCAATCTCTTAATTCTCTATATTCTTGTTGAGCAAACATGTGGTGTTGCTTTATTCTTCAACGTTAAAGCTGACATTTCGGCAGTATCGGCTTCATCAGAGCCAACTGTTCTCTTCCATAGCTGATTCTCCAAATATAAGGCACAGAAATGTTCTTTCGTTGCAAACACCTTCATTCTGGCATTCTTCATTCTGTATTTCGTTCTGATTACTTCGTAGTGCAGCTCGAAGTAGTTCAATTTCGATGCTTCGTACTGGTTGGCTATCCTCTGGTTAACCGAATATCTTGTGATGTCGTTTCATTCTATGATCTCAGCCGCGACTTGGTGTTTTAGGCAACGGCGAAGAGTGCATTGCAAGTGTAGTTGGCAGTTGCAGTACTGTAATCTTTTAAAACGAAATCGTTCAGCTTAATATTACTAACGTATTTCCTTACTGTGATCACATCGTTCTATTCGTTCTATTCGATGCACTTGCAGTACTTTTCGAATCCTATAGCACTTGAGTTTTTTCGGTACTATTTAGTTTTGCTATTTACGTATTTATGTCTGCCAATGACGCTACTTCGCACGCTTTGATACGATACGCCGATAATGACGATAGCTTTCTAAACTAAAGTGGTTCGTTAAAGAAGAGATTTTGATCGATCGGGAGCTCGAAGGGTACAGCAAATTGAACCGACGGTGGTCTGATACGATTACCGTACTGCTACATCATTAATATCATCGACTAATTCTTCGAACAGTTCGACACGGCTGCTCGTCGAATCTCGTGTGGTCGATTCCAGAATGTTTAGATCGAAGTTACAAACACTTGTATTCGTTTTGATGGTAAGTTGATTCACGCGTGCCCTTTACTAAATGGCTTTCTTTTATCGATCTCTTAAAGTTGTCGTCTCTATCAGTTCTTCCTTTAGAAAAATATTTAACTTCAACGATGCTGAGATATTTGCAAAACTCCGGACCGCAGGTGTATGCGGTGGGGAACGAACGCGCTATTGTCCTTTCTGGGGAGTAGCGCGTTTACCACCAACCCAAGCGGGTCCTTCGTTTCGCCTGTCTCTCAGCTAGTTCTATCGATCTTTTGCCATCAGCAATCACCTGTCAGCGGGATTGATCTGGGGAGCCTAAATCGGCAACGAACCCAGTTAAGCTGAGGCCGCAGTTATAATCACAATTTTAACTTATTATTTACTGCCTACTTTTTTTAAAAAGAGTAGGCAGTAAATAATAAGTTAAAAACGTTTAAGTTATTTATACAATTTTTGTAGTGACGTACGAAAAATGCTGCACTATGCCATAGTACTCACAACATTTACTACTGTTTGCATTTTTTCATTCCAAGACACTTTTCTTAGTCGATGGAGAAACAGAACTAAAGAAAAAGTAATAAAATAGTTTTAAAAAGTAAGTTAAAGTAAAAGAAAAGAGTAAACAAAGGTAAAAAAAAACGTGAAATCATCTTGAGAAAACAGCTTATTAGTAACGCCTTTGCGTTTTATTAACAATCAACGTATAGAATGTAATTAAGAAAAACAATAAGAATGATAATTCTTGGAATTTTACATTTTTTCATTTCAATAAGATATCAATAGAAAGTGTTTTTTGACAAAAGCTATAAAATACTATGCAAATTTGTCTTCCACACTCTACTATTACTTGCCCGGCAACGCACCCAATCAATTATCGATTTATGTCGCGCAATCGTTACCGATTACTATTGACAACGACATCGTCGGTGAGCCCGATATCGAGTGTTTAGAGGAGGAAATTCGAATATGGGTGAAAACAAGAAAGCCTTTCGCAGGTTTGTTTTCTTAATCCAAATGTAAGAAAATAAAGCATAGTGTAATGAGATGGAAGCTCCGTTATTAGGAATGATGGCTTTGGTTCAATCTTCTCACAAGCTGGTTAAGTTGAACAAATTTCGACGATTTCAAAGTCTCCCAACTGACTTTTTTCTGACAATTCCTTTAACTACATGAAAACATAAAATTGTAATGGTTCTACTGAAGAGAAACTGCTAAATATTTAGGATCGCGTTAAGCTTAGGATTTTTAAATATTCATCTTATCGATGATTCGACTTCTTGCACTTCACAGTATCAAATCACTGAAGAGAGTAGCGAAAAGCGCTGGAAACCAAATTGTTGTAAACACCCCTTTCAGTGGGACAATAAAGGCAAAATTCGAGTACCATTTTAGGTCGGATTTATGCCAAAGGTAAAGCGGATGTGGAAGAATGCAGTAAAGACGATTTTGCCAAGGAGCGTACAAAAAAACCGCATTTTGATCTACAGTTTGGTGTTTGTGGTATGAAAAGCTTACGATCGGTTAGTCAGTTTACTTCCTGTTGTTCTGCTTTTAATTGCTCTTGCGAGAGCACTGAGATCAAAACTGTATAAATGAGTTAAAGAAAACCTCTATTTATTCTTCTCCGGCGCTTAGTCCGTTAAAACAATAGATTTCTGGTGTTAAATAACAAAAGCTGGAAAGTCACTAGCAATCAATTACAATTATTAATGGATAACTGGTTAGAGAAGAAAATTTGACTGCATCTTCCACCAAACTCTTCACTCTCTGCCTAACAATTTCGTACTGTTTCTTCTCAAATCTTACTCGTTCCCTCCAGACTCAGCTGTGAAATATTTGGAAAGCATATAATTTTTGGCTTAAAAACAAATTTAAAGGTCGACCCACGCGGAATGTACTACGGTGTCACTATAGTGGTTTCATTTCATCCGGTATGTTTAGAAAATTGTCTTCATTTTTGCTTATTCCTAACATTTTTTTCTAAAACTGATGAAAACCTGCCCTTCGAACGGTTTACCGGCTAAGAGTAAACCAATACCATGATCTACCACCGTCCTGGTATCAAAGTTGCATGGTGGCAAATCGCCCTCTGATCCACAAAGGCTGCGACTGCCTGTCATATTGACGACCTAGAGTAGACTTTGGTCAGGCACTCCTTGGGATTCCAGGGAACCACAATGGTTTAACCAAAGAAATGGTGACTGTGCTGGGGCTCGCACAACTAGTGAGGACGGGTCGTTCAAGTATCAAGTATCAAGATGAAAACCTACACTGGCACGTTCTTGTCAAGAAATTCTATTCTATTTTATCTTTCTTCTTCATTTATTGAGCTAACAACACGCTTTCCATAGCTTCTTCATTTTCTTCCTTATGCATTTAGTCATGTTTAGTTTTTTTTTAAATCTTTTTAGCTGTTTATCACGAAAGTCGATCAGGCATTTCATGTGAAATGCTTCTTTGAAGAGGCAAGTCATGGACTTACGGCTGAGCTGGGTGTAAGGTACGCATTTATGATTGAGGTTCCCTTCTTCCTTATTCAGATTCTCACGTTTTAAGTATGAGTTGATTAGTATTAAATAGGCATATTTTCGAAAGCATTAAGGTTTCTCTTGTGTCTATGAGTAACTGCTAAATTTTTACTGCATCGATAGCAGATAAAACTGTGTTCGTTGCAGTTTCCAGATAAATTTAGTAAAACGCTTGCTTTATAATATTCTCTATCAAGACATTATGCTAATATGGTTCATTAATGGCATATCGTTACATTTTTACAACACAATCGAGTATTGTATTAAACATTTTACAGCTTTTAGTGTTCCATAAGCTGAGCGAAAATTGTTTCTTCGTCGAATCGGAACACAGTGACCGCTCTTCTAAGCATTTTTTTGCGGTAGCGGAAGGGAACGTCGGGATCCGGTTTATCGCTGAAACGTCGTCGCCGCTGACTGACCTTAGGACCAGATCCGGTTCGATAATCTAGGTCACCTTTCTAATAATTCACCACTGTTGAGTCAATTATCTCGTCGTCGCCACCGCCACCGTCGCCGGCACCGTCGCTGTCGTCGTCGCCGCCACCATGGTCGTTCTGTCGCCATAAACATCACCGCCATCGTTGTTGTGATTGAGGTTGAACCGACTCATTCAGAGTATTGGTTCCGTTCGTTTGCGTTGTTCTTTACCAACTTGGATTCCTCGTCATTTTTGTCATCATAAGGACGGTTTCTGTTGCTATAACGAAACTTCTGCACAGTAACCAAAGAAAACTGGTTTGTATTAAAGTTTGGCGCATGTGATCGTTACGAAGCTCACTGAGTATAATTGGACTTCAACATTTTGTAACTTTGTGCATAGTAACATAGAAAACTGATCGCAAAGCTTATTGCATTCACGATGGAGAGCACATTCACCGTAGTCAGAGCAGGATAGAGAGAGGAGGTGAAGTGAAAACAGGAATACGGTTGTATATCAAATTAAGGCAATAAAACGTTGGATTAATTGTCATAATCACAGTGATTTTAGCACACGTTGAAATGAAGTGGATTAGAGCAAGCTTGTTGCTTCAGGAAAACTTAAAATCTGCGATTAGAATGGAAGTGTATACTTGAATTATCAAAACCACTAAGGTACGATGACCGAGAGCCATAGCATCCAAGAGGTCTTATAACCAAAACAGTCCGAAAAATTTCGATTTACAGTCAAGAGTAATGCTAATGATTCTGTAGAAATCTCATCCTATTATGAATAATATGCACATCCTTTAATATTCAAAGACATTTTTTAAATTCCTTCATACTTTCGTAGACTTGTTTTTTTTCTCCTACTTCTCCGCCCTCTATCATAGTTACTTTTTAACTTAACGGAATGAAAGGTCATACTAAAGTGGAAAAGAAGGCTGCGAGAAAAAATTTTGCATCAAACCATGAAAAGAGCTGCACAGAAAGTTTAGCCAAAAAAAGTCTTAACTGGAAAAGGCTTTCACAAAGACCTTAAAGAAGAAACAAGAGCCGAGTGGAGCTTGAGGGGAAAATTCCACGATTTAGGCTATTTAGACAAGTAAATCGCCAAGAATACTTGTTTTCTTCTGGTGTTAGCGATGAATAATGCAAAAAAACTAAATTGGAAAAATGCTGGCCCGATTGAACCACATAGGAATCATGCTTTACGAGGAAATGATTAGGCGTCATCAAGAATGACTAGTAGGAAGCCTAATATTCTAAACTTTGGAAGAAATTAGATAAGCCACAGCTTCGTAGGAACAACGGATTAGTCCGTGAACCTTTCAGGTTCATCGAGCAAAAAAAAAGAAAAGTGAAATTTATTTTGCGTACGAAGCTCTGGAGGCAATGATATAAATACAAGGGACACGATAATTCAGGCTCCTTTGTCGAAACAATAAACTAACCATGTCATTTTCTCCAGAAATTTGTTGGTCTAGGATGACCAGATCGATCTCTCTGCAAACATGGTAGAGTTGGACGTAAACGCCCATTATGTCTAGAACCTGGAAATGCTACCAGAAAAAAATTGTTGCAGGAAACACAACTGCCTTGGTAGAAATTTAGTCTCTAGGTGGAAGACCCCTGTCTAAATCTTAAAGGTAGGCGAAGATCCGTGGTAACTTGGGAAAGTGCTAGCTCGGTTGTCTCGAGAATCTATGGAAAGGAAATCTAGCACAAGAAGAAATTGAGAAATCGACTGGAAAATATCTTGGGGCTAGCACCATTCCTTTTGAAATTGGGCCACTCAAATGCTCAACTATAACAGAAATGGAAAAAGACTTGATCCACTTAAACAATACGTAGAATTTTCATTCCCCTTGTCGTTTCATAAACTACGGGGGTTAAATTGTTCATCAAGAACTGCTAAGACTGCTTTGAATTGCTGTTTATCCCAATGACGGACATTCATTTATTAGTAGCCAACTTTGAGGAAAACAAAAAGGTAACCAAAATCTGCAACTGTGCAGTGACCATTCGGAATATCACAGCCGAATCGGCTCGACTTATGAAAACGACGAAATCGCCGGGGTGTCAAGATATCGAATAACGTCGTATCAGCTGCGTAGGAACGAAGTTGCCAAACTGCAGTGTCCATGTACTGTTTCTCAGCATGGTTAACTCTTTTCCAAAACGTTAGCCACTCCGCTTGTACTTCTATCATGATGCTTGCTTTCTGCTGTTCTTACCGAAAGCATAACCACATGTGACCTATCGGGTTACACAATGCTTCAGGCTCATTCTTAGCTGAGCTTCCAGACGAAAAGTTGGGACCTCTTGATAGTTAGGTGACTCTACTATGGAGGAGGCTGAGATAAGGATGCGGTAAACAGACGATAAAAATCGTCTAAGAATAATTACATACTCAAATGCGAAAAAAACTGAAAAAAAATGAAAACTACTAATTTTAAGACAAAAATTATTTTTATAGCAAATTTTACTTCCTTTTCCAATAATTTCTTTTGCCACTTATCCATGATCAAAGCATCCTTTCAGCATGATTCCGACGACGGAAGTAAATGCACGCCATGGTATACCTGGTTGTTCTTACAGTATTCACAAGAGTTCCATTGATGACCTAGACCAGGGTAAGCCGGCTGGTCCACCGATTCAATTTGCTCGGATTGGCGATCGAGTACTTCATCAGTGGCACTGTAATGATAGTAAGTAACTAAAGAGTTGGTAAAATCAGAGCAGATATAGTATCTGATTATTCCAATTATTCACAAGTGTTGAAAAAGAAGTATCCGAAAGGAAAGGAAAGAAAAACTGTCCGATCGGCTTCTCTGCTAATATTGTGTGCATTACCACCATAAAATAAGTATTATGTTCGAGTTTTTTCCAAACAAACATGGGCCTAAACAACAGAGTGGAGTAGCTGCTTTAATTCTGTCTTTAAGAACTTTGATCGCAAGCAATTCAACTCTTTCATCCTGGCAAATTTCTGCCAGAAATACCATCACATAAACCTGTTTAAAAACAACATTGTAGATTTCCGTGATTGCGAAGTCGAACTACGCTATAAGATGAGGCCAATTTTCGAATACATCTTCTAAAAGAATATATCCCTAGTCTTTCAGTCGAACTTCAAAAATGTTACTTCAGGACCTAAAATGTGTTCAGAAAACTTTTACTCGTTTCGAATTTGTCCCATATTAATCGATAATCACCAATTTCAGAGATGTTCGGTGTGTTAATAAATAATTGTTATGTGACTGATGGATTCGGTAAGAAAGCCGACGTCGTTAATGATAAAGGGTGAGTGCAAAAGGTAGGTATCGACTGGAAGTGACGCCATCAGCTTTATTTTCAGATGTCCAGTGGATCCGATTTTAATCACTGGGATACGGTACTCTACTGATCTACAACGTGCATATGCTGAATCATCGGTAAGTCAAGAAAGTGATTCTTTCTTAACACTTTTTGCTTACTTTCCTTTAATCTTATCTTTTCACCAAATTTGATTAACACTCCCATCACTAGACACTTGGAAGTTATCAGTCGTTTTTTAGGTAAAAATACACAACAAAGTGGTACTTCTCTTTAAATGCATTTTCCACTATACCTAAAATCCTAAGTTTTTCATTAAGCAGAACAACTTTCAAGCCGTTAGTTGTTTACCAACCTCTTGTAAACTCAACAGTTTGAGACACATTTTATTAAGGTTTTCAAATTTGCCGATAAACCTGGTGTTTGGTTTTTCTGTCAGATTCAGATGTGTATGAAGAAATCCGGAATGTGTAATGGAATAACCGTAAGGATTTCTGTTTGTTTAAAAGTTACGAAGGATTCTGAAACAATCGATGCCTATGTTTCGTTCATGGTGTGTCTGTGTTGATTTTGTAAAATGCCAGCACATGGCCCATAGAAGTAGTCGTGCGCTGTTCTATACTTTTGGGTAGAGCATATGATCAAGTGAGATAAATTTACTAAACAAATTAGATTTCTCTGCAAGCAAATAGGCTTCTCCCAACGGTCTACCGCCTCATCGTGGCTGGGAGGTGTTCCTGCTTGTTGGACTGCGATGTCCAGCGGTGGGATTCGTCCTCCCGACAGTGTTTCCCAAGTTGAGAAGGAGCCCCGCGTTTCTATCAGGAAGCCTAGCTAAGAGTAAACCAATACCAGGATCCGCCGCTATCCTCGTACCGAACTAGTCGCATAGTGGCAAATTTCACTATGATCCACAAAGGCTGGGACAGCATGTGGTGGTGACGACCTGGGGCAGACTTTGGCCAGGCTGAGCTAGGGACTCCAGAAAACCGCAATGGCTAAACCAACAAAACTCCGGAAAAATGGAGATTATGCTGGGCCCGCACAACCAATGAGGAGAGGCCATCAAAGTTTCAAAAAGTGTTGAGTGAATGGGCTATTAATAAGTAGTTTTATGGGTCATTGGTCGAGTGGAGTCTTTTTGCAAAGTTTTTTGTTTCGGAAAAATGAATTTCCTTTTTTTAGCCACCAGCTTGCGCTACAACTGCTCCTCCGATCGAGGAACGAGAAGATGGCTATCCGTTGTCGTCTGGACCACCATATCCGCCATCAGTGCCACCATTAGATGAGCTTGCATATCCAGAGCCGACAATACCACAACCAAAGGCGACGACTTCATCAAACGATTATTTCGAAAACAGACGGCATAGCGAGTACTTGGAATATCCGGAAGAAAACAAGCGTCGGAAACTGCACAAGTCCGTTTCAGATTTTCGCCTGCGACGCTTATCAAACGAAACTCTGGATTTGCCCAGAACTTCCAAAAAAAAATATGAAGGATAAAAGGATAAAGTTCTTGACGTTGATCAATCCCTGAGGGATGCGCCATACATTCAACTTCATTAAGCATCGTTTGGAGGTGATTGAATGCGTATCTGGCCTTTACAATGACTAGCGGTGGCCTACCGATGTATCGAGCCAGTGCAGCTATCCTCCTAGACAATTCTGGTATCAATTTGCTGACTCCGGAGTGATGGAAGGCTTGGTGGGCCATGGGCGCTGGGATCGATTCCACGTGTGTGTCGCAGTGGCGCCTCTAACCACTGCGCCACACGCGCCCCTCCGAAAAAATATAAGCGAAGCAATTTAAAAAGTTTAAGGACAATGAAGGCAATGGTGTATGGGATGATTTACTAGAGCTTAGCTAAAACCTTTAAGAAAATCACCAACCTTTCTTCTGAGCTTGGAAGCAATTTGTTTCACCGCCTTTCACACCAGAACGAAATGTAGAATCTGCAAAATCGGCTGCCAAAATAAAAACTAAAGTTGATTCCAATTCGTAGTAGTGCAACTAGCAGCAGTTCCTAAGTGGTGGAGAGTTCTCACATACTCTTCCGCCAGTGGTTGCACTGCCACTTTCTTAAGTGCAGCTGAGAATACATTGATGAAAGTAGAAAAAAGAACAAGATGGCGAAGCTGAAGAAGAGCGTCACAGTGTCTGAAGCTTTCACGACGTCCACCTTTCATGTGGTTCACCCTTTCGGAAGGACGTTTGTCGCGCACAAACTTGTCTGGGGAGATAGAAGGACTGGCTTTATATATCGGCAAGCCATCGTAATTTAAAGCCAAAAGTTCTTCCTAAACGATCATTGGTGCAGTCGAATGCGCGGCACCTCTCTCAGGGATTGACAGACGCCGAACGCTTTTCCTATTTGAAAATGGCATTCGTCGTTCATCGTCTTTATAAGGTAACGGTAGCATCGTCTGGAAAAAAATAGTTTCCCCAAAAGAGATTTAAAGCGCAAAGCAATTTTGGGAGCAAGGTGCATAACAAGTGAAAACTAACTTCCATTTACTATGAAAACTCCATCCATCGTGATCTCTATTAATTCACAGCTGACGTGTGTCGTTTAACGTGGCTTTGCGAATGGAATACGAAAAGTTTTTTGCTGACTGCAGGCTTTTTGGTTTTTTAGTAATAAGAAACTCTTTTTCAATAAATGATGGCTTGAAGTGGAATTGTGAACATGGCATAATTGTGGTAGAGACGTTGCTCTATCGTTCTATGGGTACGAATGATAAGTATGCTAAAATTTACAGCGTGTTAATATGGTGCATTGTGCAAATACTTTGTTGTCAGCACTTTAAAGTATTTTGCATTATTTTGACTCTCAATAAGGACGTGCCTAGTTAGAGCTGCTCTGTAGTACACATAGGTTCGAGCCCTCGCCCGAGGCTCACAAGGCCTTCCTTCCCTACGGAGTTGGCAAATTGGTTGAAGACCTGTCTGGCATCAATAGCAGTGCTGACTGGACAAAACGGTAGGCCTTCGCGAGTCACTGTAATGGCCAGATATACATTCAATCACGTCTAACAATGATTCGTGAAGTTGAATGCATGGCGCATCCATCAGGGATAGAAGAACGTTGGAGGCTTTATCCATTTACCCTTTATGTTGAGCGTGTCTCGGTGTTTTATCTACGCGCATTCCATAAACAACCAATGATTATACAATACAAATAATACAACACACGTGATTAATTATACTATGCAATGTGGTAATCATGGTGAATAAAATGAAATAACGATCAATAGCTAGTTAAATCACCGGTCAATGAACCTTTCCGAAAAAGGTTTCTGTAAAATCGTTTAAGTGTAGACAATGGTTTTCTGGCTTCACTCCTACAGTTTTGACATGCCTTTGATTAGCTATCACCTTAACGACCACCTTAAGTTAACCCTTAACTGGGTTCAATGCCGATTTGGGCTCCCCAGATCAATCCCGTTGACGGGTGATTGTTGATGGCAAAAGATCGATAGAACTAGCTGAGGGACAGGCAAAACGAAGGACTCGGATGGTGTAGTGGTGAAGTGCGCTACTCCCCCGGAAAGGACAATAGCGCGCGTTCGTTCCCCACCGCATACACCTGCGGTCCGGAGTTTTGCACATATCCCAGCATTATATACGGGACATCATAGTGTCCATCAAACCGCGTGCTAAGAGTTAAGTTGATCTAAATCTGATTTAGCTTCATCATGCAATCCTTAGCATTTTTTCTTCCGCATATAAACAAGAAAAGCTTTTAAAGCGTTCCCATGATGCAAAAAGATAAAGCTATCAGCGTTGATCAATTCCTGACGGATGGGCCATGCATTTGACTTTATTAACTATCGTTGGAGGTGATTGAATGCATATCTAGTCTTTACAATGACTCGCGGTGGCCTATCGATGTATCGAGCCAGTGCTGCTATTGTTCCAGACAACTCTGGTACCAATTTGCCGACCCTGGAGGGATGGAAGGCTTGGTGGGCAATGGGCGCGGGAGTCGATTCTACATGTGTCGCAGTGGCGCCTTCAACCACTGCGCCACTCGCGCCCTTCCCATAATGTGGTAATCCTAAATGGAATAAAAATGGTGAAAATTTCATTTATCTAGTTATTCATTTATTTTAAGTACTCGACATCACATACTGTGCAGCTCGATCCTAGTAATTTTCGCACTGGTTCGACTGCTGCCTGCAAACTTCGTCTTCTGCAAGAATATCGCCGAATGACGGTTGAGCTGATTCTCTTTGGAATCGTGGACAGTGGTGTTAGGGTGTTTTTAGATCCTTACTGCAGATGCACTTGTCGGCTTTTTGGATCGGAAGCAGTTCCTACCAAACAAATCTTGCATCACTCTGCAGAACCGGGATGATATTATTCTTTTCTGGATCAGAGTTCGTTGATCCAGAGGCGACTCCTGCAGTTTTCTGCATCTGTACCCATGGCACTTTTCAGTTGTCCTAAAGTTTGAAAAAAAGGGGAAACAAAAAAGGAAAACAAGCTAAAGTACGAAATAAACTAATTGCGTTTATAGTCCGGTGCATGTCGCCACATCATCGTCGGATTACGATCAACAAATTGAAGCTGTGACAATTTTTGGTCCAGCGTTCTCAACCAGTGAGAGCGAACGGAATGGACGAGTAGGAACCAAAGTTACAACGGTAAGTACATAGCCGACACCAGCCTTCGTCTATCTTTTTATTCTGTCTAAGGCGGTCGAGAATTAAGAGCTTAATTCGTTAAACAGAAGTAAGTCAATATGATGAGCACTCTTATAGCTCAAATAAGCATCCGTCGTTATCGATTGACGTGTGCAGATTTTCAGAAAGCGCCAACAGTACAATTAATCCTTCGATAAGGTGAACTGCTCCTCAGGGTTTCTTTATTGTCTAGGACCAGAATAAACGAAGGCCTATGTTTCTATTAGATAAAGACGGAACTAGAGTGACTTCTTTGAGAACGTTGAAATTCAAACTTGTTTTTAGGCATCAGTTTCACAAGCGTATGAAACCGAAGAGCATCCAACCACCAGAAAAAGTACAAAAATCGAAAAGAGTGAGTTTAACCGATGCTTTTTCATCTAATGGTTCAAATTTACTGGTAATATTTTATTATTTTCTCTTTATTCTTTAGTTATACGGTGGAACACTTACCTATCAATATTCTTTATCAGTACAATGACGATAGTACGAGCCATGTTATGGCTCAAACGCATTGATGTGGTGCTACTTGATTAGATCGCTCAGCATAAAATGTTCGATTTTCAGTACCAGAGTTCCTGAAACTTTTTAAGGCAGCCGTAGATCACCGTTTATAAACATTTTATGTGCAATTTTGATGCCCAGAGTCTGTTATTCCTTATCGTGTATTCAGTTTATTTGAGTTTTTTCCAACTAGGAAAAGACTCTTGCTAACCACTTTTTTATTTCTTTGATCAATTAACGTGGTACCTAGAAGATTGTAGTGCAGTGACTACAGATGCCCTGCAATAGAAATAGCCCTCCGCTCGATTCCGCCCTCTCTAAACAAGACCTCCATACCATCAACGTTGGAAAATTGGTATCAGAGTCGCATGGAAGATGGAAAACATTACTTGAACATCAGTAGGCTCACATATGCATTCAGTCACCGCCATGACGCTGCGAACGCAGTGCAATGCATGATGCATATTTAAGAGATTGATCAACGCCAACGCTTCATTCTTCTTTTTGTGAACGAAAATATTCTTAAATCCACATTTTTTTTTACTCTATATGACACATCTTCACGTATTTCGTGCGGATACCAGCACCTCCCACATTAGATTCGTTTTCTCGCATTCGTTATCCACGAAGATCTTCCAACTCTTACGTGTGGCTTCGGCTGCTGCTTGAGGATTTTCATTTCATCTTGAATGTCGTAGAATGCCGGTCCAGCAATTTTTCGTGGAGTACTGATATAGCCGGGCTGGAGCGTTTCCAATTGGGTTGCAGAGAGTGATTCTTTCTCGGACAAGTCTGGTACGATTTTCTCGACCCCGAAGGCTTGAGAGGCTTGGTTGGGCCGGAGGGGAGTCGAACTAGCACCGTGCTCGCGATGACCGACATCACTACCTCTGCTGTGCTACCCGCCCCTCATAAATTCGTATTGCTTATATATTTTTCAACCAAGAAGAAAGCTCTTGAAACCATCATTATAGAGGATTGCAGATTTTTATACTGAAAAATCTAATACCATTGTATAATATTACATTGGTATCACAGCACTAATTTGCTTATAATTCATTTTTGCCTGCATTTATGCGCTGTTAATCACAATCCCCATTTTTCAAACCGTAGTCAAATAAGAGCACGTTGTTGCTTTCTTCTTCTTTCCTTTTCCGCCAGTATTCGAAAATTTGAAGATGAAGACAGCTTTTTTCTGCGTGATTCTTGCATAGAGATAGGCAGATAAATACAGTCATTACCTCTAATTTTACGTCAATTATTCCATCATTCGTCTCCTTTACAAAAATGGGTCAGCGCCATCGAAGGGAACAACGGACGATGAAAAAAAAAACTACACGTTCACCCCCTACATAAAACTAGCTGAGGCTCACTCCGATGACGACACATCAGCGGAGAAACGAGGTTGAGCGTACACACCTAAAACATATGAATCGATTTACGAACCGATGGTTCGTTCAGTAGAAGAGGCAATGCTGTTGAAAACGACGAGCTGACAATCCATGAATATAACTTGTAATGAATAAAGCAGGTCCCAGGACCGAATTCCTATTGATTTCGGCATTAGTAAATAATTCACTGCTTTTAGTGAGGAGACGCGAGGTTGCGAATAACATCATTTATTCAATGCTCGCTATCGTTTTGATTCACTTCACCAGGCATGCATAGTGTACAGGAGCATAACGGAGAAGATTTTGAAGTAAAAGTCACTATTCTAGCACAAGAATCCAAAAGATATGCACGCAAAACTCTCGAAGCATTCCGGATAAATTCTAGGAGTCAGAAAATGAACCGCAGGGAGGAATGCCTCGTAAACACATGTGATCTCACACAGTATTTGAGACTGAAATTTTAATGTGGGAGAGGCACATTACCCATCCATGTGAACTCTGCGCAGTTGGCATCCACATGAAATACCCAGACTCATGAAAAGAAGTGAGTGTGGGAAGAAGCTATTAAGTTGCTAATGCGATTTAAATGTTAGCTTAGTATTTTCTCTATTTGGCTATGAAGGTGTTTGGCGGGATAGAATACCGTCAACTTGACCTTTCCATTCACTAAAGAAGGCGAAATCCGCCGAAATGTCGGAGTTGATGAATGCTAAAGTAACAACCTCGTGTGTGCTTATCGAAAGAGCAGGGAATTTCTGCGCAAAATTCGACTCTTCGACACTCAAAAGAATTAGTTTCAGCAGTTTCAAATAAACGTTTTCTTGTGATCTTTTTTTCCATTGTTTTTTAAATGTTTCTTCAAAATACAATTTTGTGATTCTTTACGAAAATTGCACCATAAATAATAAGCAAATGTAGTAGATGGAAAAATTTGAGGTTTCGCCAAAACATAGCATGGGAAATCATGGTCCATAAATATTTCCACGGCAGAGACTTTAGTAAAAAAAATATTCAAAGGCAATCTAGAAAATACTACGATAACATGTGCAAAGACGTAGGTTGACAAGAATCCGGCAATGGCCCGTACTCGTTTCTATGGCTACATTTATATGTGAATGCATTCGATAGAACTAGCTGAGAGACAGGCAAAACGAAGGACCCGGATGGTGTGGTGGTGAAGTGCGCTGCTCCCCGGTAAGGACAATAGCGCGCGTTCGTTCCCCACCGCATGCACCTGCTGTCCGGAGTTTTGCAAATATCTCAGCAACATTGAAGTTATATTTCATGATGTATAGCCTGCCGTTAAAAAGAATAGGCGGTAAATGATACATTAAAATACATTTTTGTTAGATGTTAGAGAGAGAGTGTTAGATTTCTACTCCCATCCATCGTTGTGTTGAAAATTCTGGAAATTACAAGAAAAAATCTGAAAATGAGGTCCCCTTTAAAAATAATTATTGATTTCAAAGTGTCAAAGAAATTAGGGCGATTTTAAAAACTTATTACTCAGTAAATAACTTAAAATACAAATGTAATATAAATTGTATAAATAGAGGCGTGGCACGTGACTACATACGTGTGTAATTTTTGATTCAATAAACGAGAAACAAAGGCAATACAATAAAAAATTTAATAATACGTGTTATTTTTTAATATTACAGTAATATTACCTGATATCAACATGTTATGATGATTAGGTGACTACAATGACTACGATGATGTTACCATTCCACCAAACCTCAGCGATTTACTAGCAAACCTCCCAGATGACGTCAGCGCGGAAACACTTCAAAAAATGTTCCGGTCAGCCATTTTTCTCCTATTTTTGAATAAAATCTAACGAAAAGCGCTTTGGTTCTGTTTACAGTGAGAGCTTAAGGAAAAAATTGTTTGTTACAAACACTTCTACCGTCATGGTTGGCTACTTTTTACTGGCTGTTTGTATTAAAAGTTTATGTAGACTTCTCCAAAAATACTCGACCAGGGAACTGGTGTTGATGTGCAAAAGTAAATGTAGACAGTGGTTTTTATTCGTTGAACAAGACCCAGGAGACTGAATTTGTTGGAAACTGTTTGGAAACGATTTCTATGGTCATTTGTTAACTGTGGCGATGGCAAACCGAGCAATTTTGAGAATTCTACGAAAATTTCACTTCGGGGTGAGAGACGAGTTGGACGAATTTCTTGAGAAGAATTGGAATCCGTTGAGAACTTCTTAGTGATTTCAAAAGTTTACTTCATATTCAGAGATTCTGTCGACGACGGTAGATCACTGATGGAGGGGGTCGAATTGTTGAAGAAACAGCTAAAGGTTCGTTAACTCTATTCAATCTCTGCTCTGGTAAGTTTTCGTCAAAAATTTTGCTACCGTATACGAAACAACCAACGTTTAGTTCATGTTAGTTTTTTTGCCGAAGTGATGAGGTTGTCTGACCTTCTTGCATCCACGTTGCCCTTTGTTACAATTCTTCAAGTATTTACAAATCGCTTAGTTGGTGTTTCTAATAGATTAACAGAGGAACTTTATAGCTCAGAAATTAAAGATATCTTCCAACACACATGCGGTTACTGGTTCTAGCCCGTACCCCAGTCTTACTAAGGTCTTCATCACTTCGGAGTCTGCATATCGCTACTAGACCTGTCTAGGATAATAGCAGCTCTGAGTTGATAGAACCACAGGCTCCACAAGTCACTGGCTGGGCCAGATATGCATCCAACCACTCTTACGCTACTACAAATGAAGTTGAATGCACTGCGCATTATTAACAAGTTGGTTAATGCCGGACACTTTCTCCTTTGTCCTTTAACTAGATTCGATTTGTAAACGATTTGTAAACGATTTGTAAACGATTGGTAAACGATTGGTAAGACTTTTCTTCCCTCTTTCTTACCACCGTAAAAGATTTTGGTGGAGCGAATGGGTTTATCCAGATCACTTACCATTTTTCTGGGCTTCAGAGAAAAACAAAAAAAAAATCGTAGCAACCGCGCATAAAACCATTTTTTATCGTTTCTATTAATATTTTATAAAAAAATGAAAAACAGTGAGATTGAACTAATTGCATATGACCACAACATTGCTGAGATATTTGCAAAACTCTGGACCGCTGGTGTCTATGGTGGGAAACGAACGCGCTATTGTCCTTTCCGGGGAGTAACGTGTTCACCACCACACCATGCGGGCCCTTCGCAGATTTGGGTGCCCCAGATCAATCCCGCTGACGGGTAACTGCTGTGGCAAAGATCGATAGAAATAGCTGAGAGACAGGCGAAACGAAGGACCCGCATGGTGTGGCGGTGAACGCGTTACTCCCCGGAAAGGACAATAGGCGCGTTCGTTTTCCACCATAGACACCTGCAGTCCAGAGTTTTGCAAATATCTCAGCAATGTTGTGGTTGTACTCCTAGAACAGTTTTAGTACATAAGCTATTCCTATTTTTTTATTTTTCAACACTAAATGAAGCACTAAATGGTCGTGAAAGGGTGGCCGAAAACTGGCAACCACCATTTATTGTGTGGTGAGAAAACTGATAATCGATAAGAAATGAAATGATTCCTACACTCGTCACCATCTTTTAAAATATACTTGGTCAGTAGAACAATAATGAAGACGAAGTAGTATTTCCTATTGTTAAGACTTATTGAGTGTGTGAGTGTGATTAATGCTGATAGGCAATTTTTTATTGTAGCATTAGTCTAGGACATGCGTAGCGCGTAAGTTAGAGGTGCCCTGCAAAACATATTGAATCGGCCGTCATCCACCGTGGCATGTCATGCATAGACCAGATATGAATTCAGTCGCCTAAACGATGTTTGATGAAGTTGAGTACATGGTCCATCTTTCAGGGATTATCAACGTCGAACGCTTTGTCCTTTTTCCTTTTAGTATTAATCTGCTAAACAAATTCTCAGCAAGCGGAAACCCCAACTTTTCTAAAGTACCTAGAAAGGAATTAAAGTATTCCAATTTTTTTAAACACTTGCATACTATGGTAAGACGGTGCTGTGGGAAATACTGCATCTGTTCATTAAAGCATATTTCCAAATATGTGGGCCACCAGATATAGTTCCAAGGTTACGTCGCTCGTCCCTAGATAACGGCAAAAGGTTAATGGCAGATAAATGTTCTTTTGCTGTGCCAGATTGAAATAGACTTCCTCTATATACGTCAACAAAGTATTGGATGTCTCATAAGTATTCTTGTGCATTTGTAGGTGGTATCCTTGTCATTTCTTCGGCCAAAAGCAGTCGATCAAGTGATTGAGAAAGGCATGGGATCCTATGTTACTTTATTAAGCTATTCTTATCCTTGCCCTAAAATGTCGTATAGGAAAATTGTACAAAGACCTACAGATGGCTTTTCTGAGATTATTAAAAGTGCTTGTTAACTACATCGGCTGCCGCTGATAACTATGATCATCTGTATAATGATAATCTCCAAATAACGATATGTACTTTGAGTCAACCAATGTACTATAGTACATGCGTTCCTTGTCTTTATGACATATATGTGCATTCTATATTAATATATGCATACGTAATTTTTTACATTAATGAGAGCTAATACGAGGTTGGCACGAAAGTTTTATTCCTAACGTTTCTGTTCATTCGCTTTCCAACGAGCCGTAAATATCTTTTTTGCACGCACAATCTTTTGCATGATGGACCTAATATGAAGTTGATATAAATGTTTAACTCAACATCCGACGTTCGTTCTCTATAAAAGGGCACCGCTGGATGAGGGGCCGCATTCGAGCGGTGCTCCCTTTCCACTGGATTTGACTCAGTGGAGCAGCGAAAACCTACATCGAGATAACGACCAGCTGTGGACCATCAATTCAGGTCAAAGCGGCTCTGATAACGTAAAAGGCGATGAAACGTTTGGCGATTAAAATCCTATACGAACCTCTTGTTAGCTCAACTACGAAAAAAAAATAGCATAAATGTATATCTATATATTTATACCTCTGGAACATAGTCCATCAAAATTCTTGTCTTTTCTGTTAGCTAAACTCAAAACTTGAACAATTGAACTTCTGCCTTCGAATGTTGAAAAAAAAAAGGGGATCAACAATTGTGGAGACTAAGAAGCTACTTTAACACATCGGTGACTCAGGACGATCAGTATCTATATTTTTGGATTCGACTACCTCACTAGCAAAGGAGTAGTGATCGGAAATGATCGATTACGAGAACACGAATGATTTCACAAGCTAGTGGCCGTTTCTACATATCGTTTCAAAGCACATGTAACTGAGATGGGCACCGCTAAATTTTGCTCAGTGTTTTTACACTTACGATGGTTTTAATATGCAAGGAAGTTCTAGAATATTCTCCATCTTGCTGTGTATCAAGTGTATGAGGTTGCTGTTGCAAAATATTCTAAAAATAATGCGAGAGAGATTCGGTAAAGAGTGGTGGTAGATATGATGAATTTTCTCTAACCATTAAAAATCGTCGTGTTCGCAATACTGCTTAACGAGGTATTGCGATCAGCTGCAGTATTGTTTAAGGTTGGCTCTCATTCAATGTTCGAATTGGTCATGAAAAATTAATCTTAGCTCTCAGCCCAGGAGAAGACTTTGGAACACCATCTTCTACAGAAGTTCAACACACTTCCTAGGCATTAAGAATGTAGAGTAAACATTCGAGAAAGAGATTAGTGGTCGACATTTACCGAGAAAAGTCAAATTTACCGCTGTTTTTTGACCAGGTTTATAATCTTATTATGGCAACCAATGGCGCAATGGTAGTGATGCCGGTCAGTAACAGCATGAGGTCTATTCAAGTTGTTCATTTCATCGGGTTCGGAAAAAAATTGCATCGGACACGTCTGGAATCCGTTGGTTCCCTCCACAACAAAAGATGGCGCCTGCGAGGAATGCAGACTTGAACAGAAAGCTTTAGCATGGCTAAAGCGGAATTCGAAGATATTCGTAAAGATCAAAAATCCTAAAGGAGCTGCTGAACCTACAAATCCTACGACTTTTGTCGAAGATAGATGCCAGGAAGTGAAACGATTGCACGAAATGCTGAATTTCAAACAACGAGTGATATCGGGTCACGTAGAACGAAAGAAATACCTCAGCTTTACGTTCAATTTGCACACGCGTTGCTTAACGAATAGAGTTAACCCAGTTTTTGCTCCGTGAAGCTTTTTTCACAGATAGTTTTGCGACTGCTTGCTATGAGCTACACTGCCGCTGTTTTTATTCGTTTGCCTAGGAAGTGTTCAGAGATATGCTACATAGGATCTGAAAGCCTCTGCTTAGCCCTTTAGGTACGAGGTGAGGCTACGTGTGATCTCGGGGCATTCCTCCCTCCTATTCATTGTAGGGTTTTGGTATTTATCCAAAAAGTTTGTGCGCTGATGTTTTGGTATCCTGTGCTAGGATAGTGATTTTTATATAAAAATTGTCCCCCCGCTATGCCTTTGTATCCTATACATCTTTAGTGGGGTACTTTGTCTCGGTTTTCGTTTGCCATTTAGGTGTTCTTTTATGCGGATATATAAAAATCTACCATGTTCGCCAATATATTCATATATATTCAATATATTGAATATTCATCTCTGCAAGTATTACAAGAGGTCAGATATATCGTGCCTGAACTCAAGCAATCATGGTCCTTGCCAAAATAGCAAGTTACGCAATTTTCTGTTTCACATCGGTCATCCAAGCGGTTACGAACTAATTGACGAGTATCCGGTGGTATTTCTACTATCGCAACGGATTTCTCTAAACCTGTCCTTCTGAAGCATGGTTTTATAGCTATATTTACTTCATCGCTAATAAAGGCCGGCATAAACGGGATTTTCTTTCGACCAAAAATTTGGTTTTAGGGGGTCGTTTTCGTTTTAAACTTATCTCATCAGATTACTATTTCGCAGCCATTGGGGATGACCATTTGCCGAGCCAAATCGCGCGATTCCTATTTTAATTCCCTTTTCGTGCACACGGAGGTGGCTGTCGGGAACATGTTTCTCACAATCGTTCTCTTTGTGTGTGAAGGATGGGAAGAGAGGAAATGAACGGCGATGGTTTCGTTACTTGGTTTTCGGTACCACCTTATCATTTACCCGTTACTTGATAAGTTGACTTGAACGTTAAGAAATGGAATTCATTTCGCTTTCTGTTTCGCCTGGATGAACTTGTTGTACTCAGACTGCTCATTCAGTAATAACTAGCATTTGTCCTTCTCCTTCCAAGCAGATAAAATGACAAAACAGTTATCTATATATCTACAGTAGAGCACCGGCCAAAGTCAATAACGGGAGCTTCTACTCTAGACATGGACGCGTTGGCAACACTTGGCGCCAACCCTCTCATTTGCGGGCAATATATCCGAGACCATCCGAACATCGAGCATTGTAGGCACTCTTTTAAGAGAGCCATAAGTTGCTCAATGGACAAGCCATGCATATGTATCCTCCTTCACGTTCGACAAGAAGTTCGTGGACGGCTTGCACTGCGGAGTCAGTCGATATGCTGATGTAAGGCGCGGAAACATCGAAAGGCTCCATCACGTAAGCATTTTTAGGAGACGCATTAAGTAGACGTTCTAAGAACACTTAGGTTTTTTGAGGTCCGCTGTGATGTTAAGCAGCTGGGTGAGCATTAGGCTTAGAAGCCACGTTATTCTATCCGTTGGCCCGTCTACGCTGCTGATGATGGGTCTGACCTTGAAGGGTATTGGGTTGGTTGACGCAAGACTATCAGCTGATACTAACTTATGTGTTAGTAAGCAGGTAGAGGATGGGACACGTTTGCCTATCTATTTTATATTGCGAGATAACAGATGGTTTTAAACCTGCTGTCTTTGCCACTTTGACCCATTAGCTGTTAAGTTCTCGGTATTGTCATTTGTATTCCTTGTCAGGTGATGGACTATAAAGGATAGCATCACTAAGATCTACCTTCGCTATCTCAACATCTAACTGGCGAGGAACAACTACGAACTCTCCGCCCTTATCACTGATCACCATCTAATGGTCTTTGAATTTATTAAATCTCCAATTTCTCGCAGACCACATTTTTGTGCCGTTGTAAGGTTAGAGACAAACTTTCTACAGCGATAGCGATTTAAGGTTTTGGGAACGTCGTACCGAAAACATGCGGAATTTCATATCAACCTCCGTTTAGCACTGGTCATCTGCCTTCGCATACTATCTTCATCGCTTATTCTCTCTTTGTGTTACTGTCCAGATGTCTATTAGCCTGCTTGTCTCTTCTTCGATCAGTCAGTCAATTTGTCTGTGTTTTTCTGTCTCTCTCTTTCTAAAAAGAAGAAAAGGCACTACTTATTGAATGCAGTAGTTGGCAGTAGAGAAGAACCGGTCGTATAGCCAAGAAAAAACAAGCAGTGGTTTCAGCTGGTGTCATCGTCAAGGAGAGTTTAGCCATAACTTTTGATTCCTTGGGAACAATTATATCAAGAAGGAGTTACATCTAAGTCCGACATTTATAGCGGGAAACACAAGCCCTTCCGGTTTGTCAAAAACAAGCAAGAGATTCAAAAATTTTTCGGTTCTCTATCGTTTGGGTGAACACGATTACACTCAACACATCTCAGAAGTAATCTAATCTCTGTACGGCAGCGTTAGTGGCTACTCAGTGTTCCTACATATTTCCATGAAGAATTGGTTGCAATCCCTTTCACAGGTCAATATGACCGTTATTCCGTGACTTCTCAGAATCATTTGAACGCCGTCGAACAATTAGTAAATATCAGAATTCTATGGGCAGCCCATCATTTGCTGGTTATTAGCCGGAAATAGAAAACGCGTAATTCTATATAATTTTCGACCAACAGAACAAGTTCTTTTTATAATTGGAGTTTAGGCGCTGAAAAAACCACCTTTCTAAAACGTTGCACATCTCTGATTGTGCTAATATGTGATAAATGTGCTAATCGAAAAGAATCAACTCAATTCCGTCTTCAAATGGTCACCGAGTGAAGTTACTTTTTCAGACGTCTTTGAACAAATTTACATGATTCCGGCTATTGAGCATTCCCGCGCAGTAATATAATAGTACATGCTTAGAGTCCGATTAGAGTTACACATTGATCAGTAGGGCGCTTGGAGCTCCGGATTCAATGCTGATTTTAACTGCAAACAGGTATACGTCCTGCAAGAGTTCTTTCCAGAGAACTCTCACATCCTTTCAGAGTTCATTATGTAGTTATTTTGGTTCACCGGTCATCTTTTCTTCTTTCTGATTACATGACGTGGTAACCAGTGGATCGCTACTGGTATGTGATCCCTTGGATCTGGAGGATGGAGTAGGTTTCAAGGCCCCGAAATGCACGTTCACGCTATATGCTGTGTATCGATTTTATTTCAGACGATATCGTTCAAGCGCAGGAAGGATTTGCAACGTGGTTAAATTGTATCGAACTATGTCTCTTCTGCATAAGAAGGCACTAGTAAACTCGTTAAGAAGCAGTTATGACATGCGCTACGCAGGTCACACTAAGACGGTTTTTTTTTCACAATATGTTTTAGTCATTTCTTTACTATATCTCTCAAATTATACGATATCCAACGTCTTTTCACATAGTTACTTCACAGTTATCGCCCGTGGTGAGTCTTTCGACCACTGCGTTCACTAAAATCATTCTGTCAATTCAAACCTTCTTTCATCTGCAAGTACAGTTGCTTAACATTTGGCCATAAACGTGCCCATATTACGAGTGGATGCACAATGAAGGATTAAGAATAAAGTTCTCGGTGTTGGTCAATCCTTGGAAGATGCGCCATGCAGTCGACTTCACCAAGCATCGTCGAAGGTGATTGAATGCATATCTAGCTCATACAGTAACTGGCGGTAGTCTACCGATATATCGAGCCAGTGCTGCTATCCTTCCAAACGAGTCTGGTACCAATTTGCTGATCCCAGATGGATGGGAGGCTTGGTGAGCCTGAAGCGGGATCAATGCCATGTTGTATTGCTGGCCACCTTTAAGCAATGCGTCAAATGCGTTTTCCTCGCCGGGTGTGATGTGAAGTACAAACGCCATTATGCTGCGTTACGTGCACTGCATTTCCACCGAACTGCAGCCTTAGCTTAATTTAAGTTAGTGCCGATTTGTGTTTCACAGGTCATTCTCGTTGACGAGTGATTGCTGATGGGCTGCGAATGGCATAAAAGTGTCTGAGCAAAATGCAAAGCAACGGCCACGGTGATGTCATGTGTATGAGAACTTATGATTAATAACTACAACTAATCAATTTTCCTTGAAGACATGTAGGTGGCATTGTTACTAGTCAGACGTTCATTGAATGAAAAAGTACAGGCTTTTATTTTCTTTTTTTTTCTTACCAGGCTTACGCCCTTGAACATAATAGGGGTCTTTGTTCAGTGGTTCGAGGTGCCCTACAATATTGGTTGTAGTTTTGACCGCGCTCCCAGTGCTCACCATGCCTTCCCCTTCCATCCCTTCGGTTGTTGGAACATTCGTACCAAACTTGGGGGGGGGGGGGGGGGGGGGGGNGGGGGGGGGGGGGGGGGGGGGGGGGGGGGGGGGGGGGGGGTAGCACACTGAAATGATACATCGATAGGCCACCGAAAGTCACTCTATAGGCCAGATGTTCATTCAATCATCTCTAACAATGCGTGAACGCTTGCTTTCTCTCTACTTTGTTTCTAAAGTTAATTACTCCACTAGTTCGTGGTGCAATTGATTAATGGTTCTATAGCCTTCTTCGTGTGTTCAAACACTTCTGTTTAAAAAGTGAGTTATTGTCAGGCAACGAGATGAACAGATCCTACGTATTTTCGTCTATATACGTCTCGCCTACACCGTAGCTTTCGTTTTATTTTGTTTCTCATTGTTAAAGATACAAAAACTTGACTGCTGGAATCCATTCGTTTCAAGCTGTTGAGTGCTTTTGTTATTCGATCCCATAACTCGTATTTGGCTGCTGCAGTCCATAATCGGAAAGCAATGGGGTGATTTTTCCATTATTATGGACTTCCTACACGGAAACCGATCTGCTTGTAGTTATTGCTGGTGATGGCTTTTGTCGTATGACTTTTTAGTAAGGCTGCAGAACTGTGCAGTTGTTGGTGACTAATGTTCCCCTAGTAAATTAACGCTGTTTCTTTGTAGAAACACTCATATTATTAATTAGTGGTTTTTCGTTATTTTAACCACACTTGTTTTCCTCTAAATTCGTTGCACTCAATTCTCATTTCATGTAACTTTACTGGTTACAGACAGTTTGTCTCGACTGGGATGGTCTCATCTTAACGTAATGGAAAACTACGCGGCTTCAGAAATCTCTTGCGAAAACTAAAATTAAGGAAATGGGTCTTTCCTTCACGATGGGATACGATGAGAAAATAAAATCCGTGGTGGTCTCAAGCCTTCTTTTCTAAAATTTTTGTGAAGAGTAAAACTGCTTGATTAACCAAAGCATCTGTAACGACCAAGCAATTTTCATTAATTTCTTCCTTAATGCAGTAGCCAGTTTGTTTTTCGAACTTTAGCATTGTGTACTTGTTGACTACTCTTTCATTGTGTATAATTTTGACCCAAGCACTTCTTCCATTGAATTCTCCTTTCCATATATCCTTAGTTCCCGGCGATAATAGGGTTCTGGTATGAATTTGGTTGCAGCTTGGGGCTGCTATTTTTGCTACTCATTAGCACGTTGAATGCTGACACTACCTGATTTCGCTTAGAATTCCCATATAGGCCCTCTAGAACGCTCTCAGATCATCACAAACCAATCCTGACTTTATGTGGCGGACCTCTTAAAGGCCAAGTGGTGAAACCAGCTCAAGGGAGTGAATTCAAAAAAAAATATCTGGTTCTACTATCGCTAGCTGTGAGCAAAGGACAACGACACTCTTAATATTAAAGGATTTTTATTTCAAACACTCCAGCAGAAAATACGACGTGCCGATAATAAGCAACAGCAATAAACCACGCGTTCTGTAAAGAAAGACAGGAAGGTTATCATACACTAAAATGAGGTCCTAAGAAGGACGAGAAAATCTAGAACGAGGTTGGAACGATCGTTGGAACTGATTAGCGTTTGGTGGATAGGTTGCATGTTTTGGACCAATAACAGTCAATTCCGTGTTGCACTTTCTTTGGCCGAAGGTCCACCGCTTGAGTTCCATGTGCAGTTTTCTGTAAAAAAAACTTTCCTGAATTTACAAAAAGCCTTTTTTGAAGGGTACTTCCTTTCACCCTTAACATCCCATTATCAAGTGAAACTTTTGGTGATGAGAAGCAAATGGCAATTTTTTGCTTTAAAAGACAACATCGACTTGGAATAAGGTGAGGAACTAACTTGTTCATCATAAAATAAGGCAATGTAACAGCGTTGTAATACCACAGGCCGGAAACGTTGTAGATAAAAACCTGCAAACCTCCATGAACAGTGCAGAATTCCCATAGCAAGAAAAATAGCACTTCTACTCCAACGGATAGAGCTACCTGTAGAATCCGTTGTAAATATGTTCTTGGAACCAAATGTGAAGTAATTTACCTGTGACGTTAGCCTCATCTCTTCCTTCGAATTTCGAGAGGCTTTCAATTTAAATTTCAGAACTAGCAACAGTGAGGGATAAGCGATAGCATTTGATAACGTCACACTATAATTCGTAATTTGATTGGCCCTGAAAAAGGACGTGGGTAACTATTCTAGTGTCAATGAATGCTGCTGTTTAAGCACTTAATGGAGTTCGAACAAACAAAATTGGAGGGCCTTGAAACCGCTTTGAAATTCTTTGCCTATGATAAAATTATTGTTGCAATTTCTGGTGTCCACGAACTCCACTCCGGTCTCACCGAACCAACGTACCTCCGCTGAACATGAAGAAGCACAAACATGTATTCCTAGAACAGTGGCTTCTCCCTTCTGATCTGCGGATGCAGTGTCGTTAATTAACGGTCACACAACACGGGATTTTTCCCCGATATATGAAATACCTGATGCAGACCTTCAGACCCGACGGGATTCGACTCGGTGCAGCAACGAGCCACCACATTGCGATGATGATGAGCTGTTGACAATCGGCACTTCGGCTCCGAAGAACTCGAAGACGTAGGAAGAACAAATCTTCTAATCAACCTCATGTTTGTTCAATAATCGATGAAAGTGTTATAAGCCTTTTTGATACTTCACTGACGAAGACCTAGGCATTAACACTCTAGAATGACTGTGTTGTGGTATAACAGTAGGAAAAATAGTTACAGTTACACTATAACTGCAGACAATTAGTAATACATCCGTTAGAAACCTCAAGAAGTTACGAAACTTTTCTTGCAACCCGTACCATCCCATACAGAATAAACATAGTCTTTTAAGAAATCTACTCGGATCCTCTCCATTTCACAACCTTTCACCATAGTCCTATTGCGTCAAGGAAAAGCCACCCAAGATTGCTCGCTAGTTGACGAAGAATATTCAATAAGCGATATACCATCGTAGCAAAGAAGAAATCCCGTGAATATTAGCATTCGGACTCCATCAACTTCATGAGCAATTGCCTAGCGCGAAATTGGAAGTAAACATCTTTAAAAATTAAGGTGATATATGAAATGCTTGCAATTTGAACAGAGAAATTATGTGGAAATTCTGTTGAAGTTATGTCGTCGCTTTCATAGAGGTAAAATATGAGGTAACACTCGGACTCAGTAAGCCTGCTACCCTTCCGGAATTGGGAAATTGGTATTAAACTCGTTGGGGAAAGGATCACTATCTGCAATAAAGGTAGGAACGCTTTATCCCGGCTACACCAGGACTCCAGATAGAATCGACTCGACCAGCATTCAACGACTATAGAGAACATTCTTTACGAATATTGGAATGTTCTCTATGTGAATTAATTATAACCTTATGTCAAACATTTTCGAATACGGTTTCCGGTGACCTTTTCTCCATGACGATCTGATAACCTTATGTCAAACATTTTCGAATACGGTTTCCGGTGACCTTTTCTCCATGAC